TAACTAAAGAAAAAACAGCGATAGGGATGTAGCTCAGTGGTAGAGCATTTGTCTAGATACGCAAAGCCCTGGGTTCAATCCCCAGCATGGGGTTGGGGGCGGGAGGAGAACCCAGCCATCATTTGTGAATATCCCTGTTCCAGGCACTGATAACTTTTATACATCCTCATCCCATTTTAATACTGAAAATAACTCCAGGTAAGATATTATTAGTCCCATGTCACATATGAAGAAACTGAGATTTAGCTAGCTCCTGAAGGTGGCACAGATGTCAAAACTTATTCTAAAACTTGTCCCTTTAACTACTATGTCCATGATGTAAATATGCTTGGAAAGGGGTTATTTCATGAGCCACAGAGAGATAGGAGCCATGCTTTATTTACCTGGATGACAGCCACACAGGCTCCACACCAAATCTCTTTTATCCATCCATAGCTGTCCTGGCTGCAGACTCCCTGGAGTCTGCCTAAAGGAAGCCCCTGAGCTCTTGCAAATCCTCTTAGGAAGAAGAGTCTAACATAAAAATGGCTACAAATAATCCCTTCTTGGGCCCTAGGGAGAGCAGTGCACCAGTTCAGGTACTTTACTGTTGAATTCAATTATTACTAGAACCCAGATAATCCTTTCATGAGTCCCCAACAGAACAACTGAATGATGCAATTTTGCCAGGACAGTCACAAAGAATAACATTTTTCATGGTTCCCAACACAGCTGGTTCTATTTGGAAGAGTGAAAGAGTAAAGGTGCTTTGGACAAAAACCATGTGAGAAACTTGATGCAAAGTATGATCAGACTAAAGCTGGGAAAGGGTACTCCTGCTCCTCAGACAAGGTGCTGGCAGAGCTCCAAACCTCCATTCCCAAGACAAAAGTGTTAAGGGAGCGCTTCTGTGGAAGAACTAACAAACCAGCTGGGAGGAAGGGACAGAGAGAAATGGGAGCAGCACAGAAAGGGGAACAGGTGGAGAGGGGGAGGCATGCCTGGCAGGGACAACATAGGAACCAAAGGTTTAGGATGCAGGGACAGGTTCCATGTGGGCACAAAAGCCCAAGAGTAAAATTTTTTTATTTTTTTAACTAAAGGAGGAGATGAGTCCAAAGAATCATAAGAATCCAAGCAGAAGACTGGAGGCGGAGGTGGAGGTGGAGCTCTCAGTGGTAAAGCACACACACACAAGGCCCTGGGCTCATCCTCAGCATCACAAGGAAAAAAAAGGAAGAAAGAATCCAAGCACAGCAGGTCAGAGCAGGACAGAACAGCAAGGAAAAGGAAGGCCCTGAATGCCACATCAAAACATTCAGGTCACACATGTGAAGTGTGTAAGCACACAAGGTTCTTTCTTATTCTTTCTTTGCTTGAGCAGAGAAAGCTTGCTGTTATCTTCCCAAGTCATCTGCTTTCTCTTAGACATCAGTCCCCCTGGTCACCAACACCTGAAACCCTGTTCGGGAGTCAGGATTCAAAGAGCTCTGTCCAGCACTGTCCTCAACTTTTCTGTCCTAGAGTCAACAATATGTAGTAATCAAGTACAATCCCAGGGTTAATGTCAAAGTTCAATTGATATATATATATATATATGGATAATTGCTTAAAATTATTTAATGCTCTGATAAGTTTATTTCCAAGAATGAGCATTTTATTTTAAAATACACACACACAAATAAAAACAAATTTTCCTTATAAAACTGGAAAGTGAATTCTCTTAGAAAACTCCTTTAAAAAAACAAATAGCATCCCTGCCTGAGCTCAAAATGATGGCATCATTTACAACAAATCTAGTGCAATTGGTTAGAGATACCAAATACCCCTGATGTGAGTTATCAAAGTTACTCTATGAATAGGAAAGACGTATGAGGCCTCAAATTAGTATGGGCATTTGGGAAGGCAGTGTGCACACTCATGGTTTTGTGGTCTTCGACCACCCTGCCAGTCCGGTTAAGTCTGGGTAGTCAGGAACCATCTGGTGACAGAGTGCAGCCTGGCTCAGCAGAATCCAGCACAGAGAAGTCTCTACCTCCCAGAGATACACTCCCTGCCAAAATCTCACCCTTGTGGCTGTTTCCATCCTTCCAGGCCCCTGACCAAAGACTTTACCAAGCACACTTTCCAAATGATGAGCAACATTCTCCAGTTGGTTTAATTTGTGATTCCAAAAGAGAAAGGGAAAAAAATTTCTTTTCATCTATTTTTAATACCAGTGGAAGCAACTGGATGATGTAATGTATGCTGTTATATTCACTTATGTCCTTCTGGCCTGTAACATTTATGGATCCTGTCCATATTTTTCTTAAAGCTCCACTTTAAACACTCAGCCCTGCATCTGGCTCACCATAGGAATTATGCAACTATTTATCTAATTGAACAAAATGATAGTGAGGTGTTAAGAAGAAACTCAAAAAAAAAATTCAAAAAATTAATAAAAAAAGAAGCAGCTCAACCTCTCAGGGAGAGATCATCTCTCACAGGATCTGGAAAGCCACTGCCCTTAACAGCATAGGTGAGGGGCTAGCCTCAGGCAGTAGCCAAGCAGGCACAAAGGCAAAAACCCCCAAACAAACACAATGACAGCTGGAATGTGCAGCATTAAGAGAGGGAGAAAAGTCTCATGCCTAGAAGCATGGTGGGACCATGAAGACAGCAGGCAGATTTGGAAGAACACAACCACCTCTCAGAATGACACCCAATCAGACAGGCACAGGAACCCACACCTGTAACCCCAGATACTTGGGTAGTTCAATAGTAGAGCACTTTCCTAGCATGCATAAGGCCCAGAGTTTGATCCTTAATACCACAAAAAAAGGCGGGGTGAGGAGAATGCTACCCCTCACACTGCTCCTAGAATTGCAAGTAGAACCATCATTCACCCATCTCTCTGCCAGTATCTTGGGTTAAAGGGCAGGTGCTCTAAGGGCTACTTCTCAGTATCTCTCAGATATGGAAAGAACCTCAGGGCAAAGGAGGACTGAATTTTTCTGGATTAAATCCTTTCTAGGTCTGGTATCATCATGTAGTCACATTCCTCCACAAATCTATGAGAGGCTGAAGTTATTGGACACGAGCCAAATGCTGGCAACTAATAACCATGGAAAGTGCAAACAGGGCAGATGCCACAGAAACACTAAACAGCATATGGATGCACCAATAACAAAGATCCAGCAGCTCCCATATAAAGGCAAATAGTCCAATAGGTATATGGAGGCACAGCCAAGATGGTGACCCCAACCCTATGCAGATACTATACTGCCTGCTTTCCCAGTAATGCTGCCTGGCAGTATTATTTCAGGTAACAAGTCAAGGGTGGGAAGGCTTTATTGCTGATAGACTTTGAGAAGAAGCACACACTCCTGCTCCATTCTCTTATCTCCTCCTCCAAAGCCTAAGGCTTCTGCCTCCTAGATTTCCTGAAATTCAGCAAAGTGATCTTTCCAACAGTGAGGACTCTGTTTGGTATTGAAAGCCTCTCACAGCAGGCCTCAGCCCACCTTTCTAGCCTCCTCATCCTTGGCTGTTCCCAAAGCTCTCCAAACAGATGGGTTTTCCCTTCTTCCACTCATTTTGTTCTGAAAACTACCCCAGGGCCATTGGGTGACTGTGACCCTCCTCCCTAGAGAATGGCCAAGGGCCAGAGCGCCCAAGCTCTATTCCCAAATAGCCCACGAGCCCAAGAGAAGGTTTAGGGACAGACTGAGTGAGAGCAAGTCCTAGGACTGACTCAGCACTCCAGATCCTCTTGAGGGTCACAATACTAAGCCCCACGTAGGAATCTCAAATTGCTCATGTTCACTGCTATATTCTAGGGCCAGCGGGAAGGGTGTAATATTTCATCAAAACAAGGCCCTCTCTCCATGAAACCCATAAACTTTGAAAATCTCAGCTCCCGTGCACCCTAACAGTCCCCCAAGTCTTGCAACCCCTCGTTCCCTTAAGATCCTAAACCCACAGTGAAGATGTACCACTTGCTCCCACCATTGGCATGGGCCGCGAGTGCCCACCTCCCCTGCACTTCGAGCGGCAGCCAGAAGAGCAAGGCTCGACGAGCCAGCGCGCCGCTGGGCATCTTCAACGAATAAACTAAACAGACCCAGAGTTTGGAACATCTCTTGGTGCTTCAGAGTTTTCCTCCAGTAATCTTCACGTAGGTGGGCGAGGGGACCCCGCTCCAAGAAAGGCAAGCAAGCAGAGATTCCCCGCTCTGCTTCCGTCGTCTCCCAGGACCACAACCCGCATCCCCAGCCTCCCCCTCCCAGTCCCCCCAGGCCGCTAGGAAACCGCGGAAGCGACTCCACGCGTGAGCTACCGTCCCCGCCCACTACCCCAAGTTCTAGCTCCCCGCACCCCTGACCCGCCGGCCTGTCCCAGACCGCGGGGGTCAGAGGGCGCATTCTTCGCGCCGCCCTCCCCTTCCCTCTCGACACAGGAGCGTAGTAGGCACAGCGCGCCCGGCTGCGGACCTGAACGGGAGAAGGCGGCCAGGGGCGTCCGGGGCCCAGAAGCCCAGCCTGGGGCGCCGGCTCCGAGAGGAGGGAGCCCCTCCCCCTTCGCACTCCCGGGCCCCGCCCGGCCTCAGGGCCCCGAGGCGACGCGGTCCCGAGAGAAGGAAGGCTCGAGAAGAGACAGGCTGGAGGACACTTACTTAAGAGGCTACATAGTTTCACTCCCAGCCCATCTCTGGGCTGCGGCAGCACCTCCCAGGCCCTCCGTTGGGACCTCAGTGCCCACCACCCCGTGCAGCAGCTCGGCTCCACAGCCCACCCCTTTACACCGCCGTTGGGCGGAGCCGCTCCTTAGCCCGCCCGGCCCAATAAGCGGCCGTCCTTATCCAGAGTGACGTGTACGTGAAGCAATCGTTGAGTCCGGCCCAGCCGGGGGTGGTACTCAGGCAACTCACAGCGCTTCCTACTCAGAGAAGCCCCGCCCAGAATCAACGACTGCGCGTGCCCAGAATGGAAGGGGCGGGCCCGAGGGCAGATCTGACACTAGGGGTGGGGTCCAAGCTAGCTTTTTGAAAGGAGGCTGGACTGCGAGGGGGAAAAAGAACCCCGTGGGGAAATTGTCCCACCGGGCGGATTGCTAGTCGCTGCTCGCTTTGCGGGACTTAAGTACCCAGTCTTACGAGGCGCATCACTCTGTTGCCTAGAGGATCTGGGAGTCACTGTCCTTGGGTTCTAGTCCCTTCGCTTGCATGGACTCTGCATGAACTAAGCCTTCTTTTTACCCAGTTCTTCTTGACTTAGTTTCATCATCTGCACAATAAAGAAAGGTTGTAACTGCTGGTCTTAACATTCCAGAACTGTAATGGGGTACAGAGGAGGTAGAGATGCTAGACCCACACGTGACTTCCCCGAGCGGGGCTCCGCCTACTCCTGGTCCAGGGGGTGGAAGCACACTGCGAGGACTGGGGTGGGCGGGTCCTCGAAACCCGATCCGGCTGCCCTTGGCAGCGACTAAGGCTAAGCGCACAGCTGGGCGGCCCGCTAGCCCTGGGGTGGTTCTAGAGGAGGATGGGGTCCGCTCTTCGAGCTTCTCAGGGAGCCGCTGGAAAAGCAAGAGTCGTGCAAAGATAAGTGTGTGCCTCGGAGCGCGTCTGGAAAGAATGAACAAGCGAATGGGAGGTAGCTGACTCAACTCCCTCTCCGCGCTGGGTCTTTGGAGGTGCAAGTCGCGAGTCCTTGGAGAGCTTTGTGGCTAGCTGCTGAAACGCGGAACGAATCACGGGCCATGAAGAGTGTTCAGACCGCTCACCTCAAAGGTGGCATCTGGGCTGGCAGCGTCCTGCCGCGCTGAGGGTGTGAGAGGGGTGCGGGCTGCTGGATCTCGACGGAGCGCACCACCATGGCCAGAGAGGAATGCAAGGCGATGCTAGACGCGCTCAATAAGACCACCGCTTGCTACCATCATTTGGTGCTGACCGTCGGCGGCTCAGCGGACTCACAGAACCTGAGGGAGGAACTACAGAAGACCCGCCAGAAGGCGCGGGAGTTGGCGGTGACCACTGGTGCCCGGCTGACTGTTGCGCTGCGCAACCGGGGTCTGGCCGCGGAGGATCGCGCGGAATTTGAGCGCCTCTGGGTGGCCTTCTCTGGTTGTCTGGACATACTGGAAGCCGACATGCAACGCGCACTGGCGCTGGGAGCCGCGTTCCCGCTGCATACGCCTCTGCGGCCGCTTGTGCGCACAGGTGTAACTGGTGATTCCTCCCGGGTAGCAGCGCGCGCCTTGAGCGCCCGCAGCCTAAGTCACCAGGCTGAACGCGATTTCGACGTCTCAGATCTGAAGGAGTTGGAGCGCGAGGTCCTTCAGGTGGGCGAGATGATCAACGACATGGAAATGAAAGTCAACGTGCCGCGTTGGACAGTACAGGCCCAGCAGACCGCGGGCGCCGAACTTCTGTCCAGTAACAGCATGGGCGCCTCCTCCGTCGGCGCCGTGTCTGTAGAAGAGCCCTCGAGATCCTGCAACCCCAGCAAGGCCTTGGCTGCTACTCTTTTCAGCGCCGTGCTGCTGGCGGCTGTGGCCCTAGCCTTGAGCGTGGTAAAGCTAGGTTGATGCCTGACGGCCACCCCTACCCACCGCCTGCAGCCTGCTCCCTCCCGGGGAACAAGATTCAAAATGGGCTTTGCAGTCTGGCCTGTTAAGGCAAGCAGCACAAAAACACCGTGTGCGCATGTGTATATGCATTTCTAGCACACCTCTGCCTGGGCAGGACATGGTTTTCTTTTGCTGGCCCGGGAGGAGTTAACTTTGCTTGAGCTGTCAGGGCATTACCCGCTAATATCTTCAAGAGCTTTATTCCCTATTAATAGAAACGATCCATAGTGACCCCGGATTCCTTTGAGTTAATGGGTTAACGCATGTGCTACTGGGGCGTCTTCACACGGAGTCCAAATTTGGTGCCCCTCTCCTGCAGGCATCTCCCACTCTCTGCATGGGACAGTTTGGAGAAGTGGGTGAGGTGGTATGAAGCATGAAGAGGGGGATGGTTTTGCTGTTTGTAGGTGGCTGATTTGTTTCCTGGACAAGAAACGAATTGCAATAAGATGTAAGCAGGTATTATTATTATTATTATTATTATTATTATTATTATTATTATTATTATTACCTCAGTCCTTTGGGGCCTAAATTTAAGAAAATGTGCAGTTAGAAGTTCAAACAAAGTGCTTTCTTATGGCCCAGTTTATGGCAGTTGATCCATTAGTCAACAAAAGAGATTTGGGGTCTTAACCTCCCGCTGCTGTACAAAATCTGACCCTATTTAGGAAACCAAAGAAAGTAGTTGGTTGAACCTGCTATATAGCAGGATTGGACCAAACGCACACACCTGCCTGCCAAGAAGAGTTCTCCCCAGCCAGCCTTGGATGGTGGAGAAAGAGAATGAGGAGGCTTTGGGAAAGGCGACATGCTATGTAAACAAGCACTTTCTCCTTCTCAGGGGCTTATTTTTGTTGCAGAACTAGACCAGAGTGTTTGATCCTCCTCTGAGGGAGGGCAAGAGAATCCTCTTTGAAGCACTTAATCCTATTTATCCTTGGAATTTGCTTGCTAGCCAATAGGATGGTTGGCTTTGGAGAAGGACTGCTCCCTGACCCCCACACTGTCAGGTCATGTGGCATTACTGGCCCACAGAGATTTTGAGTCAATGAGCTCTGACACTGGGTTAGAATGTAACTGCTTTAAATTGAAATTTAAGAAGCTTTAAATATATATATATGTGTATATATATTTAAACATACATATCTATATAAACATCTTGAAAGAAAGATAACATTACCACATCATGTACTATCAAAGCTGTTTTTTAACATGAAAGCATTGGACAACGAATTCATATGTGCCAATGAGTCAGAGGTCTTTATGTACCCTTAGGTTACAAGATAAGTAACTGCACCTATTTTTCAAATCTATATTCTAGAATACAGATTGAATTTTGAGGTTGTAGGATCAGTACTGGAATCACAGGTTAATGTAAGAAGTAAACTGTCTTTGCTTCTTTTGATCCATAAATAAGGAAATGTGGAAAGCACCCTTGGTCCCAGGCAGGAATTTGCCTAAATAGTGCTGCCACCTCCTGCTTGGGGTCCAGAGAAGCTCTGTCACTTCTTGGGGACATGAGGCTGAGAAAATAGATGCATTCAACTTTCTAGAGATAATTTAGAACAAAATCAAGAGATTTTGGTTTGGCTGAAAACCAACACAGATATTTTTTTCTTTCTCACTCCAGAAGTGAGAAAGGGGATCAGGTGGAAGGATTGGCAGTTTTCCACAAGAGCAGCTTGGAGGGCCAAGGGACAGAAGCAAATAGCAGCTGGATTCGTGTCTGGGCACCCAATCCTGAGGACTGCTCCTTATCCTCTACCCTAGCCCAATTTCACTCCTTTTCAACACATAAATTCCAGCGCCAGGTAGGGAAACAGAATCTGTTAGCTTATGTCTGTGGTCATGCTTTTAAAAAACCCACAAGATCTTAAGCTGACCAAACCTCTTATAACAATTGCTAAGAGAAGCTCCTTCTGCTTCACTCAATCTGGATGAGTCTGAATAGGAGCCACTTCCAATTCTCTTGCACCTGTCTTGCCAGGGTGCTTTTGGAGATGACGTAGAAAGATTTTAAATTTCCCACACACAACAAAGTCTAATCTCTCTCAAGCAAGAGAATGCTAGGACACTTTGTAAACCAGTGTTGAAAAAGGTCCCTAAAAAATAAGCCCCTAGGTGCTGGGGCTGGGGTTCAGCAGTAGCACACTTGTCTGGCATGTATGAGGCACTGGGTTCAATTCTCAGCACTATGTATAAATAAATAAAGGTCTATCAATAACTAAAAAAAAAAATTAAAAGACAAAAAAGCCCTAAAGGTGTTCTGCCATTTCGAGGACTGCAACCTCTATTCTTCTCAGGGTGTTTTGGGTCATGAAAGAAAAATTCAGTAGAACCTGTTTTAAAAACAATCCATCTGCTGTTTGGTAATCTGCTGAGAGTAAATAGGGCAAACAAGTTTCCTTGTCACTCCTTCCATCCATTTGCCAGTTCCTTGGGTATTATAAGAGCAATCAGATGTGCACCTGCTCTGAGGATCTCTGCTCAATGAAATTAGTGAT